AGTGGTAACCCAAGTTTCGTACAGCTCCCAACTAGAACAATTATGTAAGTGTATTATTGTAAGCGCTTTTGTAAGTGTATTTTTGGGGGTCTGAAACGGACTAATCTAATTTACATTATTCCTTACGGAACAAATTCGTTCAGTAACAGGACTTGAACAGCTTTCTGGGGTACCATTGTACGTATATATATATACACACACACAGGAGAAGAGTGGTGTAGCACCTAGAACGAAACAAGCTTATAAACGACAACCAGCATGGATTCATGGAAGGCAAATCCTGTGTCACAAACCTACTGGAGTTTTATGAGAAGGTAACAGAAGAAAGACGAGAGAGAGAGAGGGGTGGATTGATTGCATTTTCTTGGACTGCAAGAAGGCCTTCAATACAGTTCCTCACAAGATATTAGTGCAAAAGCTAGAGGAACAGGCATGTATAACAGGAAAGGTACTGCAATGGATCAGAGAATACCTGGCAGGGAGGCAACAACATGTCATGGTATGTGATGAGGTATCACAATGGGTGCCTGTGATGAGTGGGTTCCACAGGGGTCAGTCCTAGGACCAGTGCTATTTTTAGTATATGTGAATGACATGATGGGAGGGATAGACTCAGAAGTGTCCCTGTTCACAGATGACGTGAAGTTAATGAGGAGAATTAAATCAGATGAGGATCAGGCAGGGTTTCAGAGACCTGGACAGGCTGGAACCTTGGTCCAGCAACTGGCTCCTTGAATTTAACCCCACCAAATGCAAAGTCATGAAGATCAGGGAAGGGCACAGAAGATGGCAGATAGAGTAAAGAATATGTGGCCAAAGACTGCAAACCTCACTCAAGGAGAAGGATCTTGGGGTGAGTATAAAACCGAGCACATCTCCTCAAGAGCATATCAACCAGATAACTGCTGCAGCATATGGGCACCTGGCAAACCTGAGAATAGCGCTCCAATACCTCAGTAAGGAATTGTTCAAGACTCTATACACCATGTACGTCAGGCCCATACTAGAGTATGTAGCACGAGTTTGGAACCCACACCTGGTCAAGCACGTCAAAAAATTTGAGAAAGTGCAAAGGTTTGCAACAAGGCCAATTCCAAAGATCAGAAGAATGTCCTATGAAGAAAGGCTAAGGGAAATTGGCCTGATGACACCAGAGGACAGGAGGGAAAGGGGAGACATGATAACGACATTCAAAATACTGCGAGGAATTGACAAGGTGGACAGACACAGATAGGACAGAGATAGGACACAGAAACAAAGAGTCACAATTGGAAGTTGAAGACTCAGATGAGTCAGAGAGATGTTAGGAAGTATTTCTTTTGTCATAGAGTTGTCAGGAAGTAGAATAGTCTGATAAGTGATGTAGTGGAGGCAGAAACCAGATACAGTTTTAAGACAAGGTATGATAAAGCTCATGGAGCAGGGAGAAGATCTAGTAGCGACCAGTGAAGAGGCGGGGCTAGGAGCTATGTCTTGAACCCTGCAACCACAAATAGGTGAGTACACACACACACATACATGTTGGTAGACAGCAACCACCTAGGGAGGTGCTACCGTCCTGCCAAATGCATGTAGAAAGAGAACTTGTAGCTGTTTTACACAATGGTAGGAATGCTGGTGTCTTTTCATTCTGTCCCATAACATGCAAGAAAACAGGTATGTTTTATTACTTCTACTTACACTTGGGCACACTACATATACATGTACACGTATATGTATATGCATTGATATGAATTTTCTCCTAATTTTCTAAACAGTTTTTGTTCTTTTTATTTCCTTTCATCTCCATGGGGAAGTGAAAAAGAATCTTTCCTCTATATCCCATGCACGTCATAAGAGGCAACTAAAATGCTGGGAGCAATGGGCTAGTAACCCCTTCTCCTGTACAAGTTACTAAAAATAAGAAGAAACTGGAAGGCCAGACTCGAGTCCTGGAGGTTGGAAGTACAGTGCCTGCACTCTGAATTGCAGTTTTATAACTGTAGTGTAGGTGTGCCTCTGGCAAGATGGTGATGGAGTGAATGATGATAAAAGTGTTTCTTCTTATTTGGGTCACCCTGCCTTGGAGGGAAACAGCCGATGTGCTAACAAAAAATATTATACGTATACATGTATATATATATACGTATACAGTGGAACCCTGAGTTTCGGCCGCCCTGAGTATCGGCCACTTCGAGTTTCAACTGCTGTTTTGGGATAAATTTTGTCCTGAGTTTCAGCCTGTGCCCCGTGTTTCGGCCGGCTGTACCAGACCTGTCCACTTGCCCACGCAGGCGTCATGAGCCAGTCTAGCTTTTTTTTATCCTTGAGTGAACATTACCCTGCATGCTCATCCAGACATTTCACAAAAAATTCATTGCATTTAGTGCTTGTTTATTGATTGTGAATGTGAAATAAGGCACCATGGGCCCAAAGAAACTTCATAGTGGCAGCCCTTTGGTTTAAAGAAAAAGTCTTTTGAAAACAACAGAATTGAAGAAAGAAATTGTAGCAAAGTACCAAAGTGGAGGAGGAAGAGAGAGGGGAGAATGTGCCTTCTTCAGCAATTCAGTGATTCTGCGATATGTACAATACTAAAGTAGGATGAGTCAATAAAGGCTATAGTGCCAGCCAGGTGATAAAGTGTAGCACAACGGTAGCAAGAAAAGTTAAGCGTTTTAAGCAATAAAAATTCGACACGAAATTACCCCCTCATGTTGTTTGAGTATATGGGCGACTGAAAACACCTCCGCCTGTGCCTGCCTCTGCTCCCTGCTTAGCTTATGCTCCAGTGGCCCTTACATACCCAACAAGCAACACAACACCAGTCAGGGAATTATGTAATGAGTATTTATTAATTCTAGAGTATAGTCATTTTTCCCCTATGTATTAATTTTGGTTATTATGTCATATTAGATGAATTGTGATAGTATAAGCCGTAGATTTTGATATATGTTCATATTGAAGGACTATCTTGTCCTGCCTCCAAACAAACTCTCCTGCCTTTCTCATATGCCAACAAGTCTTCAATAAAGGTAAAACTGATTTAAATGTTCATTTATCCATTAAAATTAGTGCTTTATATTTATTTCTCATTGTTTTCTGTGAATATTTTGGGTGGAATGGATTAATTGGATTTACATCATTTCTTATGAGAAATACTGCTTCAACTTTAGGCCGTTTCAACTTTAGGCCTAGCTCCTGGAACGGATTACAGCCAAAACTCAGGGCTCCACTGTATATACAGTGGACCCCTGCTTTACGATCAGCTCTCAATGCGACCAATTATGTAAGTGTATTTATGTAAGTGCGTTTGTACGTATATGTTTGGGGGTCTGAAATGGACTAATCTAATTCACAATATTCCTTAAGGGAACAAATTCGTTCAGTACTGGCACCTGAACATACTTCTGGAATGAAATAATATAGTAAACTGGGGGTCCACTCTAATATATATTTTTTTTTTCAACAAGTCAGCCATCTCCCACTGAGGCAAGGTGACCCAAAAAAAAAGAAAATACCCAAAAAGATAATGCTTTCATCATCATTCAACATTTTCACCTCACTCATACATAATCACTGTCTTTGCAGAGGCGCTCAGATATGACAGTTCAGAAGTTCCTCCAAATTGTCAATATCCAAGACCCTTCCTTGAAAGTGCAAGCATTGTACTTCCCATTTCCAGTACTCAAGTCCGGCTAACTGGTTTCCCTGAATCCCTTCACTAAATATTACCCTGCTCACGCTCCAACATCTCATCAAGTCCCAAAAATCATTCGTCTCCATTTACTTCTAACACACACACACACACACACACTTACTGGAAGTCCAAGCCCCTCGCCCACGAAACCTCCTTTACCCCCTCCCTCCAATCTTCTCGAGGATGATCCCTACCCCACCTTCCTTCCCCTACAGATTTATACGTCCTCCAAGTCATTCTACTTTGATCCATTCTTTCTAAATGACCAAACCACCTCAACAACCCCTCTTCAGCCCTCTGACTAATACTTTTAGTAACTCCACACCTCCTCCTAATTTCCACACTCTGAATTCTCTGCATAATATTAACACTACACATTGCCCTTAGACAGGACATCACTGCATCCAGCATTTACAACCCAAGCTTCACACCCATATAAGAGTGATGGTACCACTATACTTTCATATGTTATCCCCTTCTTTGCCTCCACAGATATATACAGTATACGTATTTTTACATATATACACACATACATACAGGTTTGTTTTGCATCTTGTATCACTTGTTCATGATATTTCACATAATATATATATATGTATATGTATGTATGCATGTACTTCCTTAAAGAAAACAGCTTTCTGTAGTTCTCAAGAAACCTTGTATATAGGTTTCATTTCTTAATGATGCTGTATAATTTGGTTACTACAGTATTCACAATTTACCCACAAAGCAGAGATGAAAAAGTAGACAATGCTTCATTTTAATCTGGATCATTATCAAGATACAAATTACTTTTCTCTACACAAGCCATTTTTTTGTACTTTATCTTGTAATTAAAATACAGGAAGTGTAGTTAGCCCATCTTCACAAGCAACCCAAAAAAACAGTTACTGTACCACAAGATATGTAGTGATAAGCACTGTACTTAAGACATCATTCCATTAGCAATCATTCTTTCCTTGAATGACTCCCATCTGAAACATGCTTTCACAACAGACAGACATTTCAGAAATCACATCAATCAATCAAATGAAAGCTATACCTCACAAGAGTGCCAGCTAAATCCAGTATCCTATACACTGTTTCATTAAGGATACAGCTGTAAAAATAACTGTAAAGCTCTATAAAGCTACTGCAAGGTCCAAGCTTTAAACTGAGCTAAGATAAAAATTATTAATTTCCAAAATACTTGTAGGTGCTCTTGTCCTAAGCAATGTAGTGTGGAACCAACCAAAACAGCTGTCAGTAAAATGGTCATTTCTCATCTCTTGCTGTTAGCTGGTAAAATACCAATCACCTATTTTTGAATCTGCAACATTACCTTCTTCACGATCCATTTCCCATCTTCAATGGCCCGATTTATGATCTGAGTAATCCGTTCAGGATCTGTTTCTTCAGTGTGCTGATTAAAACCCTGTTAAGAGAATTCCTTTATAACCTTATGAATTACAAATTACACTGCTATTAACACACATATTACTTGGGTGTGTTTTAAGTACAGTAAATAAAAACTACAAACTATTCATGCCTCCTTAAAAAACCATATGATACTATACACTGCACTGCATGTTATACATATACTACTGTATATATTATACATACAGTATGTACCTGGAAGGAGTTGAGAAACTACAATTTTTTTTTACCTGTGCCTTAATATTTTGTTCAAGTGGTCTCTCCATGTTTTACCAAATCAGGGTACTGTATTTACTGTAATTTTTTACTGTATAAACTCATGCTGCCTCACAACAGTCACAGTATGTAATTTCAAATCACAACCAGTGCTGTGTACATTGTGGCACAAAGGAAAATAAGTGCACAGCAAACTTGTGTTATAAAAAACTTATACAGTGGACCCCCGCTTAACGATCACCTCCCAATGCGACCAATTATGTAAGTGTATTTATGTAAGTGCGTTTGTACGTGTATGTTTGGGGGTCTGAAATGGACTAATCTACTTCACAATATTCCTTATGGGAACATATTCGGTCAGTACTGGCGCCTCGCGAATGTTGAAAAACTGTGAATGTTTGGTGCCCCAATATATTGTAGGGAAATATATTACAATACTGCTTCCATAACTTGTTGAACCATGAACAATCATAAAATACATGAAAACGTCGTAAATTGTACTAAATATACATGTTATGCTTTAATAACGTATGTTATTTAATAACATGTATGTTATTAAATACCACAGACTCCACCACTGCCTCCACCATTGCCTCCACCACTGCGAGTCCCTACTACCCTCCCTCCGACCCCCCCACAACTGGCAGCCAGCCCTCCCACCACTCAGTGTGGTGAGTGTTTTATTTGTTCATTATTTGCTATTAAACTACAGAATAAGTAATGTAAACCCATTCATGACTGCATATTGGAATGGCTATTAGGAAAGGTATTAGACGGTGACATCATGTGTTTACTCTTGAACACAGCAAAGAATTGAACATTTCTGCTATTACTAATAATAACAATAGTAATAATAATAATAATAATAATAATAATAATAATAATAATAATAATAATAATAATAATAATAATAATAATAATAATAACAATAATAATAATAATAATAAATACGATATAATTGAAGAAGGAAATTGTACAAAAATACGAGGGAGTGGTTGACACATCGTCAGTGTGACTTTGTTTATGCTGGAGTGAACATCAGTCTCCCTGCTCTTCCAAACATTTCACAATAATTCAGCAGTTGAGGCAGTGGTATTTAATAACATATATGTTATAAATAATAATAGTACATATTATTAATAACATGTATTATTATTAACATGTATGGTATTAAATACCATTGCCTCAATCACTGCCTCTACCACTCCAGTCATACTCAATCTACAAGCACCAAACACAATGAATTATTGTGAAATGTTTGGAAGAGCAGGGAGACTAATGTTCACTCCAGCATAAACAAAGTCACACTGACGATGTGTCAACCACTCCCTCGTATTTTTGTACAATTTCCTTCTTCAATTATATCATATTTATTATTATTATTATTATTATTATTATTATTATTATTATTATTATTATTATTATTATTATTATTATTGTTATTATTAGCTATAGCAGAAATGTTTAATTCTTTGCAGTGTTCAAGAGTAAACACATGATGTCACCGTCTAATACCTGTCCGAATAGCCATTCCAATATGCAGTCATGAATGGGTTTACATTATTTGTACTGTAGTTTAATAGCAAATAATGAACAAACAAAACACTCACCACACTGAGTGGTGGGAGGGCTGGCTGCCAGTTGCGGGGGTCGGTGGGAGGGTAGTAGGGACTCGCAGGTGGCGGGAAACTTAAATATGATTTGGCGGCTGGGAATTTGGTGGCTGGGAATTTGGCGGTTGGGAATTCGCGAATGTGTGAAGCCCGTGAAAGTTGAAAACGTGAATGTTGAGGGAGACCTGTACATGAAAATGGGAACACATGCAACTATTAAAAACATTTATATTGCAGTTTTTGTTTCATTCACCAGAAGCTCTGTGGTAGCATTCTCAGCTTACATCTGAAGGACCTGGGTTTGATCCCAGGAAGTGGATATGCTGGACTTTTCCTTACACTATTTCCCCTGTTCACCTAGCAGTAAGAAGGTACAGTGGTACCTACTTACTGCTAGTGGTAGCCCGAGTTTAGGCCATAATTCGTTCCAGAAGGCAGTTTGAATGGCATTACCGAACAAATTTGTTTCCATAAGGAATAATGTAAATTAGTCTGTTTCAGACCCCAAAAATACACTTACAAAAGCACTTTCAATAATACAATTACATAATTGTTTGAGTTGAGAGCTATACGAAACTCAGGGTACCACTGTACCTGGATGTAGGCAGATTTTTGTGGGTCACATTCTGAAGAAGAGGACCGAAGGACCATAATGGAAATAAGCTAGACAGAGTGACTTTATTGGATTATTCTGGGTTACTAACCACCTGGGTGAATAATTTGAATAAAATTTCCTTAGTGAAGCCATTACGGACAATGCACAGATACAAAGGTTATATAATGGGAGTACGATGAGGTGCCTGGAGAGCAGCTGAACACCTCACCTTACTCCCTTCACATACCTTGTATGTCCAGGCGCTGCTTGTATTGGCTTGACAAAACTTCTGTTGGGAAAAATGTAGGCATATTAAATGTCTCACTCGTTACGCAAGTCCATATACATACTTTAATAATACAGCTTCTCCTCACTTAACCCTTTGACTGTCGCAGCCGTATACATACGTCTTACGAGGTACCGTGTTTGACGTATATATACTCATAAATTCTAGCGGCTTCAAATCAAGGAGGAGAAATCTGGTAGGCCTACATGTGAGAGAATGGGTCTGTGTGGTCAGTGTGCACCACATAAAAAAAAATCCTGGAGCACGCAGTGCATAATGAGAAAAAAAAAACGACCGTTTTTTTTTAATTAAAATGCCGACTTTGTGGTCTATTTTCGTTTAGTATTTATGGTTGTATTCTCGCTTTCTTGGTCTCAAATGATAGAATGGAAAACATATTATAGAAAAAGAGATGATTTTGATTGATTTTACTATAAAAAAAACTGGAAATGGAGCTCAAAGTAGGGTAAATGTTTGATTTTTGCCGATGTTCAAAAGTAAACTAATGACATCATTGTCCAATAAATGTCCAACTAGCCATTCTAATATGCAGTCATGAATGGGTTGATGTTATTTATACAATTATTACAGTATTGGAGTAGTCTGCATAATAGTAAATTTTCTATTTTTTGTTTGAATAAAAATTAAAAATAGAAAGCAAGAGTAATATCAGAGGGGCCTGGAGACATGACTGATGAACAAAGAAAATGTTATTTTAGAGCCAGGAATGTCTGCATTGTTCATTCTGGACCTTATTTTGAAATTGTCATATTTTTTAATTTTCGTGAAATTGGCCAAATTGCAAATTTCTGACCACGTTACTGGGTAGTTGAAATTGGTAAATGGGCAGTTTCTTGTACTCAATCGATAGAAAAAAATGGAGCTCTAAAGAAATAGCTATGAGTTTAGTCGACTGAAACAAAGGAATTAGCCAAAAATAGGGCTCAAAGTGGGCGAAATCACCGATTTGTAAATATCGCCAAGGTCACTAACTTCGCGAGAGCGTAATTCCGTCAGTTTTCCATCAAATTACGTTTTTTTGGTGTCATTACAATCGGGAAAAGATTCTCTATCATTTCATAAGAAATTTTTTTTTTTTTTTTTTTTTTTAAATTTTGCGACACCAGGAGACACCTCAGTATTGGGGGTTGCGACAGTCAAGGGGTTAATTAACGACGGAGTTCCGTTCCTAAGACCACATCAGTAAACGAATTTGTCACTAAGTGAGAAGCATACTATAATGGTAGTGGGTTTGTGTCAACCATCTTTGATATTGTTTTAATGTAACCTTTGCACCATTTATAACATTTCTGGTATATTTTTAAATGTTTATACAGTAGTGTACTATACGTATATTGTAATACATAGAACAGAGGAAATGAGGTCTAATATACATTATTTAGGTATGCAATGCAAAGTAGTCGTAAGTCCAAGTCATCAGTAAACGAGTATGTCGCTAAGTGAGGAGAAGCTGTATTATTAAACTTTTAAAATTAATTTTAAGTGAGATAAAGGCAATGAAACCACTTTACATATCTGGTCTAAAAAAAAAAAAAAGACCATGTAACATCTGCATAAAATCTATGTTAAGTCTTTGTTAGTGAATCTTTAATGAAGTAATGATTTGTCCATTTTATTTTTCGAGAAGGTAAATAGTGAAAATATTGTGCTAATAAAGACAGAGCAATTATTCAAAGTAAATGCTTCTGAAACACGTAGGCAGGCCCCGCTTTGAGTGATTTTCAGTTATAACCATTCTTCATTTATTCAGACTTCCTACAATGAATATATTCATCAATCACTACAAGGCAAGGATGAAAATATTTTACCATAAGTAATGTGTGCTCTGTGTATGTATTTTTTAGGCTCGGCTCTATTTCTCACTTAATATATGATAGTATAAACATGTTATCAGGCTTTTAAATGCATTTGAAAGTGAAAAAAGGCAAATGTTTCACTTTACAGCAATTTTTGCTTTACAGCAGTATCCCAGAACATAACCTGCTGTATAAGCAGGGCCTGCCTGTATAAAGTGATTATCTGCACAACTGATGGAAAATGTAAGCTATCTGTAAATGCTAATCATTGCATAATTCATTATTAGTTATGTAATAAGCTGTCCTTAACTAGTAATAAAGTGAACACAGTAATGCCCACTGCATACACTAAAACATAAAAATTCTTCTTTTATACACCTATAAAGTAAAGGGCTGGAATGACTCCCATATTGACATCAAAGACAGTACTGTATATTCTTCCAGGAGAAGACAGTGAAAGATAAGTTTTTTTAATACTTTTACTCCCCTTAAAGAAGATTTCTTGATACCAGTGAGGGGCTCCTGACCCAAGGATTTCATAGTCAGCTCTTAATTTCTGTGTCATTCATGGATATGCTTATATGCTTTTTTCTTTCCTTTAACTATACTAAATATGAATACAGTGGAACCTCAAATTTCGAACGTATCGCTTATCGAACTCTTCGAAAATAGAACCCTTTTCTCGAAGCAACTCGGCCCTATTTTCAAACCGCCGGGTGCTGGACCTGTATGGCATCCTGCTCTGTCCGCGTCCCCACGCAGGCGCCGTGAGCCAGTCTGGTTTCGTTGATGCTTGATTGAACACTAACCTGTGCTCTCAATCAAACATTTTACGATTTTTTCATTGTGTTTAGTGCTTGTGGGACTGTGAAATAAGCTACAATGGGCCCAAAGAAACTTGCTAGTGGTACCCCTGTGGTAAGAAAGTGAGAAACACCATAGATGTGAAGAAGAAAATAATACAGAAATCGAATGATGTCCAAGTGGAATGATGTCCAAATGTTTGTGGCGAAGTACCACCCTGAGCAAGCTGAAACAAGCCATCTTTGCAACAAGTTCAGTGACAGAACCATGTCCCATTTTAGGGAAATCTTAGAGGCACCAGAAACAGAGGGCTGTGGACAGTTATTTTGCGAGACAAGGGTCCAGTGACTCTCAAGCTGGTACTAGTGGCATTAAAAGACAGAGAAGGGAAGTAACCCCCAGAGAGAGCTTTGATACCTGAAGTCCTCATGGAGGGGGATTCTCCTTCCAAACACTAACCCCAACTCCCTCTCTCCTCCTCCCTATCTTCCAGATGCCATCACCAATCTTCAATAAAGGTAAGTAAAATCTTATTTTATGTGTATTTAAATCTATTAATACATGATTGAACACTATATTTGTTGTGTGTATGTATTATTATTATTATAATCAAGGGGGAAGCGCTAAACCCGGAGGATTATACAGCATGTGTGTATGTAAAACTATAATTAATCTCTATAAAATGTATTTTTTTTTGTGAATATTTTGGGGTTTCTGGAATGGATTAATTGTATTTCCATTATTTTTTATGGGGAATGTTGCTTCGCTTTTCAGACTTTTCGAATTTAGAACTAACTCCAGGAATGGATTAAGTTCGATATTTGAGGTTCCACTGTATACTGCATTTTTTTTTTTTTTTTTTTGTAAATGCGATTGAAAAAGTGCATCCAAGATCCAGCAGCAAGTGTTAATTATTAAAATATTTATGAAGGAGATTGCTAAACCCATAGGGGTGGTACAGTACCAAGGGGAATGGTAGGTATTCAATCTAAGGGGATAGCAGGTCAAGTTCCCTAGATCAAGAGCACTGTAGTATATGATAAGGCCTTTGCAATATGTGCAATTTAATTTTGATTGTCTTTTTCAATTCCATTTGCAAAAAATCCGACTATATAGAACAGATTTATAAGAGAACTTTAGTTACAAGTGTTAAATCTTTTTACTAATGTAATACCTATATACAATGCATTGGGAGCAAGGGGCTACATTACTAAATTTCACTTTTCTTTTTAGGTTACCCTGCCTCGGTGGGATATGGCCGGTTTGTTGAAAAAAAAAAAATACAATGCACTGCTGACACTTTTACAAGGAAATATCTTATATGGCTAGAAGTCTTGTATGTAGTTTATTTATATCAAAGACAGGGGAGTACTAAACTTGTAGAAGCCATCTAGTACTTTCAGGAATTTGAGGCAATAAGATTTCTTCAAGGAAAGGTAGTGTGGCTCCAATGCTTTGGATCTAGAGCCCTTCACCAGTGGGTGGTCATGAGCTAAAAGTTTACTATAGGTTACTGATGCAGCAATTAGGAAGTGACTAGTTATAGGTTAAATTAGGTTAGGTAAAGTTAAGAAAAAGATTATTTTGTTTGGATTATAAACCTGGAAGGTTATTAATGCAGTATAACCCAAAAACCCATGTCAACAGACTGTCTGGCTTATTTCCATTATGGCACTGTAATTCCCTCCCCCCAGGATGTGATTCACACCAGTCAGCTAACACCCAGGTACCTACTTACTGTTGGGTGAACAGGGGCAGAAGTTGTAAGGAAACATGTCCATTGTTTCCACTCATCTGGGGATCAAACCCCTGTCCCTCAAGTGTGTAAGCTGAGGCTGCTACCAACTGAGTCTTGAGCCTCTAAACTATATTATTATGATATGATATGATGTATCTTTATTTACTTCAAGTACATGTACATGGTATACAGGCCTAGTTGACATCAGTGACATACTACTATATAGAAAGCTGCTTGTTATGCTGAGCATTTCGGGCAAATTAAGTCAGTTTTGTCCCAGAATGCAACCCACACCAGTCGATTAAGACCCAGGTACCCATTTTACACCGATGGGTGAACCGCGACAGCAGGTGTCTTATGGAAACACGTCCCTAATGTTTTCCAACCTACCGGAGGAGATTCAAACTCCAGACCTCAGTGTGTGAGCTGAGTGCGCTAGCAATCGAGCTATGGGTATTATTATTATTATTATTATTACATTCATAGTGCACTCAAGCCATATGGGTTATCATAAACTTTAAAAACATAGTTAACCACAAATAAGCAAATTAAGAAAAAACACTCAATACAAATACAATACAAATCAATTCCTCTTCAAGTTTAGGCAACCAGCTGCCAGTTCTTTTTTTTTTTAATCAAGGAAACTGTTAAAACCATAGGAAGAGGGGGATGTTCATATAGCACCTAGGGAATGGATGGCATTTATGTTCGATCCAAGGAAGGGCATCAGGAACCCTTCACCAGTACTCAGCTATTTTATAATTATTACATTCATGGGGAAGTGCTATTCCTGTAGGGATCATACAGGCCTTAGGAAATGGGAGGCAATCAGGCTTAATGTGAAGAAGTGGATAGTTGCCCTATTTCCTTGAATCACAGCTCGACTGCTAGCACACTCAGATCACACAGTGAGGTCTGTGGTTCAATCCCCGGTACAGGTGGAAACATTATGTCGTGTTGCCTCAAGACATTCTGTGCATGTTCCCCTAGCAGTAAATTAGGTACCTGGGTACTCACCTAGTTGTACTCACCTCGTTGAGGTTGCAGGGGTCGAGTCCAAGCTCCTGGCCCCACCTCTTCACTGGTCGCTACTAGGTCACTCTCCCTGAACCGTGAGCTTTATCATACCTCTGCTAATCAACTGATGTGGGTTGCATCCTGGGGACAAAATTGACCTAAGTGCCCAAAATGCTCTGCATAACAATGGGCCTTCAATACAATAGTATGTCAATGGCCTGTATACCTTGTACATGTACTTGTATAAATCAAGATTAGTATTATTATTAACATCATAGCACCTCTCCTCTTGAAGGATGGCAATGTTGTTATTATTATTAATTATAATTATTATACGATTATTATAATTATATGATAAACTAAGGGCCAGAGACTGGGGAATGGGAAGTAATCAGCTTTTTTTGTTTGATCCAAGGAAGGTGAGAGTACCTCCCACTAAAGAGCCCTTTACTGGCAATTTCATTTTCACTTTATTCTAAGTTCAGCGCTAAACCCGTAGGTTTTTATAGACCTGGGAAACAGGAAACATTTAGGCTTGTACCAAGGAAGAGAAGGTTAAGCCCAGTTCCTTGGATCAAGAGCCATTCACCAGCATCAACCTGGTTCAAGTGTAAAAGCCTTCAAGAGAAAATTGGACAAATATCTTCACCAGGTGCCAGATCAACCAGGCTGTGATGGATATGTGGGGCAGCCTACCTCCAGCAGCAATAGCCTGGTTGACGGCAAGCACCAGCGAACTGGCCCCTGGCCCGGGGTAGGTGATTAACTCTCAAACTCTTTAAAGGTAAAGGGTATCACTTTTGGTTTTTTTAGGTACTTTTTTAAATATTTTATAATCATGGGGGAAACACTAAACCCTAGAATTATAGTTATTTGGGACAGTAAACACAAATACAATTATAAAAGTAGAAAAAATAGGGTAAATTACCGGATAACCTCGAAAAAAGCTCAAAGTGACTTTTTTCCATTGGGGGCCTTGAAATATTTTATTTAAACCGTTTTTAAAATTAAAATGGGGTTGAATACATACAAAGAAAAATTTTACCCGTCTATATAATGGGGTAATATGTCTGTGAGCTTGTGGGGAGCTTCCTGCACTCCTTATCAGATTTTTACAGTTGTTTGGAAATTTTTATGGCGCAGGGGTTTTTCAAGAAACACTGACCTTTACCATTGTTAAATTTTTCTCTGGTATCCATTTTTTGGGAGTTGTTAAGAGAAACCAAAATTTAATTATTGAGACTTGAGTTACTTTGCGTTCTAACTTTTAACGTTAAATAATTCATATTACAAGGATCCCCAAAGGAATGTCACGACCATTTTTTTTTTTTTTTGGGGGGGGGGGGTTATTATGGGTAATTTTCACTATGTATGATAAATAGTACTATGTGTACATGTGCCAAAATAACTTAATTTATTTGTATTCTCTCGCGAGAGTTGGGATAAAATATATTATCAAATACAGAGGAATTTATGAAGGAAACAAAGTCTCCTCAAAAGAGAAACGGAAACACCTGAGAGTTCTCATGTTAAATAGTGCAGCCTAAGTCTATAGCCAATCCATCCAGTGCAAGGGAAATAATCACCTGGTGACTTTTTTGGGTTCGAGTTTTACACATATACTGCTATGTAAGATATCTATGTAACTTATTTGTGTATACTGAATAAACTATATAGACAGGTTGTGCTCCTCAGGAAACAGTTGATTTTTGGGGGGATTATCCTAGGTAATTTAGTGTGTGTGATAACTGGACTTTGATACCTATGTCAAATAAAATTACTTCCATCACGTCGCACTGAAGTTAAAAATGAACTGTTGAGTATAATTTTAGCTTTTCGTACAAGTTTAGGAAACATTAGTCAAACAGGAACTAGCAAACGAGTTTGCTAGTTCCTTCTGGCCCTAACAGTCCTATGCCATTGTTTCTCATAATAACTTGGTCAATTTTAAAAACACTATGGACGAAACACTGCAAAAGTTGTTAAGTACGACTGAAGCCAGGCTATATATCTCTGGAAGTACGGTTTGTATGATGTCACTAACAAAATGCAAAGTGTGTAGACAGAGAGACTATACACTGGATTATTATTATAATCAAGGGGAAGCGCTAAACCTGCAGGATTATACCGCCTGTGGGGGGGGGGTGGAAGGTATTCAGGCTTAATTCGTGGAACTGGAGCACAGATCCAATTTCCTAGACAAGAGCCCCTCACCAGCATCAATGAACCTTCCTTGAGGAGACTATACACTGGAACACTGTATCTATGTCCAAACATCTAACTTTCAGACACTCCCTGCCAACCTTGCAGAATATCTGAAATCTTAAGTTTGTAACCAACATTTGCATCAACTGGCTAATTACCGTTTTATAGAGATTGCACTCAGTTAATATTGTTTTGAGTAGTAATAAAGTTTATTAAACTTGACGATTTCACCTCAAGCAGTGGCACTGTTGTGGTGCAACTGTCTAGTTACCGGCGTCATCGAGGCCATAAATGAATGGACGCCTCAAACTATAATGAATAAGTACTGGATTCCCCTGTGAAGAATAGGACAGAGAATTTGCGGCCTCAGAATTAGTGGTGACAGTGGAAATAGACAAAAAAAGGCACAATACGTACTGGAACGATATACATAGCCTGACAATAGACCCCATGGTAATTCTCCCTAATACACAACTTTCCTTGTATATCTAGTCCTGACCCTGTCTCTGTAAAAATGCCTCCTCTCCCCTTACATTGTAAGTGCTTAACCTTCAGAACACCCTGACCTACCGAATTTCTTTCTTTTTTACTTCTTCTATCTTTTTCCCCTTAATTTCTTAACTTTCTCCTTTGGCGTCGTCTTTCTTCTGCCTTGTGATTTGTTCCTGTCATTATTTTCTTATTATTCCCCCCCCCCATGGTGTTCTTGCTCTTACCCTCTGTGGGCACCTAGCTCCCTTGCAGTGCTCCTCTTAGTATCTGACTGGCTCCTTACTACCTTCCCCACTACTACTTCCTTCCACCTCCACTACTAGTTAGTGTGACTGTGTAAATGGTCCATGTCGGGCTGAAACGTCGTCGTAAGCTCCTCTTTTCTATGTGCGGGTTATTTGTGACGAAATAATGAGGCGTCGCCATGCAACACATCCAATATGTACACCATTAGTCCTTTCCTTTAGATTTCTCACTGGCCAGTATGATTCTCTTTTTTAAGTAGGCGTTGTGGGATGATCCAACTACAATACGAATGGTAAGTGGTAATTATCTAACTTTTGGTACAAATGTTCCTGGTGTCAATTAGAACTTAAGAACATAAGAAAGAAGGAACACTGCAACAGGCCTACTGACCCATGCGGAGCAGGTCCATGTCCCCCCTGGATTAGACCAATGACCCCCCCCCCGGATTAGCCCAATGACCCACCCAGTCTGATCATCTCCACTCAAGGATGGAGCACTGCACCAGACCCAGCAGCACAAGCTAGTCAGGTCCAACTCACACCCACCCACACCCACTCATGTATTTATCTAACCTATTTATTTATTTATTTTATTTATTTTATTTAATAATTTGAACATACAGAGATACAAAAAAATACAGGTTTTAGAGTGAATAACTGTACTCGGGAGTTTGTTCCACTCATCCACAACTCCATTACCAAACCAGTGCTTTCCTATATCCTTTCTGAATCTGAATTTTTCCAACTTGAAACCATTGCTGCGAGCCCTGTCTTGGCTGGAAATTTTCAGCACGCTATTTACATCCCCTTTATTTATTCCTGTTTTCCATTTATACACCTCGATCATATCCCCCCTAATTCTACGCCTTTCGAGAGAGTGCAGATTCAGGGCCCTCAGTCTATCCTCATAGGGAAGATTTCTGATACATGGGATCATCTTTGTCATCCTCCTCTGTACGTTTTCCAGAGTATTTATATCCATTCTGTAATACGGTGACCAGAACTGAGCAGCATAGTCTAAATGAGGCCTAACCAAGGATATATAGAGTTGAAGAACAACCTGAGGACTTCTATTATTTATACTTCTAGATACGAAGCCAAGAATTCTGTTAGCTTTATTGCGAACACTAATGCACTGTTGTCTTGGTTTTAAATTACTGCTAACCAGAACTCCTAAATCCTTTTCGCAATCAGCAGTATTAAGATCTACATTATTTACTTTATATGTGGCATGGTTATTTACCTGTCCAACATTTAGAACTTTGCATTTGTCAATATTAAACTGCATCTTCTCCGACCATTGCATCAGTCTATTCAAATCATCCTGGAGTGCTCTAGTGTCCTCATTCCCTCAAGGAAGGCTCCTTGACGCTGGTGAGGGGCTCTTGATCTAGGGAATTGGATCTGTGCTCCAGTTCCCTGAATTAAGCCTGAATGCCTTCCATCCCCCCATAGGCGCTGTATAATCCTACGGGTTTAGTGCTTCCCCCTTGATTATAATAATAATAATAGTGTCCTCATTAGAATGAATTGGACGGCCTATTTTGGTGTCATCAGCAAATTTGCTTATGTCGCTATTTATTCCATCATCTATGTCGTTTATGTAAATTGTGAACAACAATGGGCCCAACACTGACCCCTGAGGAACACCGCTTGTGACGTGCCCCCATTCTGATTTCTCCCCATTTATGCAAGCTCTCTGCCGTCTATTTGTCAGCCATGCCTCTACCCAGGAAAAAAATTCTCCTCCTATTCCGTGTGCCTTAAGTTTCCTCAACAGCCTCTGATGTGGAACTCTATCGAAAGCCTTACTGAAGTCCATATGCACAATATCATATTCATTACCATGATCTACCTCCTCAAACACCTTAGTGAAAAAAGTTAGTAAATTCGTAAGACAGGAACGCCCCTTTGTAAAACAGTGTTTAGATTCATTAATCAATCTGTGCCTGTCAAGATGGCTACGAATTGCTTCGGCAATTATTGATTCCATAAATTTTCACACTATGGAGGTAAGGCTTATTGGTCTATAGTTCGAAGCCAAGGACCTGTCACCTGCCTTGTAAATAGGTATTACATTTGCCATTTTCCACTTATCAGGCACTATGCCAGTTTGTAGTGATATGTTAAAAAGATTAGCCAAAGGTATGCTAAGTTCCTCTTTACATTCCTTTAACACCCTTGCAA